AGCCCACCCTAAGCAAGTGCACAACACCAGCAGTGTAACATCTGGCATACCTCCTCCTCTGCTCCCTCTTTCCATTCCAGTCCCTGTATAGTTTTCCCCCCTCCTGGTCCCCTTTACTCTTCAGGGTGAGTTGGGCTCCCTTACTTTGCTCCCATCTTCCCTGACAATTGTGTACCTTTTGTTCAGCACCTCCCCAGTCCAGCCAAGAGCTGGCTCTGCCTCCTCACCTTGTTATATCCTCCATTCCACTTGTCACTTTCTGTTCTTTTGTCTGGTGCTTCCATTGACTGCACTAAGTCCCCCTGAATAAAAAACAAAAAATTTGTTCCTTTCCCTCAGAGCAGCCAGAGCTTCGTTTCTCCTCTTTTCCTGGGACAGAACTTTCTAATTCTCTAACCTGACAACACTGAGCTTTTTTCTTTGAGTTATCTGCCTAGGCAGCTGCAGTCCCCTTGCCATCAGCAGCAGCCATCCCACTTCGGCACCACCCAGAGCAGGTAGGGTGTGTCCCACATGGATCCAGAGGTCTGACACTTGTCATTCCCTGGTTTTCCACTCACTCTGTCTTCCTCCCACTGGAGTCCCCACCCAGAAGTTGGATCGGATGCCGCTTTGGCGAAGGGCTTCTTTCTCCCCCTTTATTTCCTTTCAGCATAGTTTGTTCCCCCACACCTCCCTCATCTGCCCCCCATCACTCGTGCTGGGTGGCAAGGACTTTACCCTCTGCCTTGTGCTTTCCTTCCAGCAGCAGTTCGTTGTCTAAATGCTGCTGGCATCTTGTGGCACAGGAGGCTGAGGAGCATCTTTCACAGTCCATGGTGAGCATTCCACTCTTGACTGCATTACTGCATGATGAGGACTCACCAAGGCCTGGGGCATGGTTGCAATGGCTGTCTCTTGGCTTGGAAGGATGGGTGCTGGGTTTCCAAAACCCAAAGCAGGGTGCCAGCATGACTTGTATAATAAACTTGTCTTCCCCAGAGGGCCCGTCAATGGCTGCTAGATAGCCTGCCTGGGTGCCAGGAAATGTCCTGCACAGACTGCTGCAGCAAGCAGACACTGTTAAAGACAACGACCAGGTGGGATCCACACAGGTGGTATGGAGCATAGAGCAAGTAAAGGGCCTGCCTTGGGGAGACGCATTCCCTTTTCTGTCCCTTCTCATCTCATCCTCTCCTGAATATTGTCCCCTGGAGCCCCTGAGTCTATCTCAGCACCCAAACTCCCATGTTCATAATGATGGGGGCTGAACTATGAGAAAGGATGATGAATGCACACCACGAGACCTGTGACTCCCTTCTGCTCTGGGATGAGGCTTCCTCCACAGCGTATCAGAGGAGTGAAGCTGTGGGGAGGTCACTGTCCTCACCTTCCTGGAGACCATGGTGCAGGAGGTCTAAAAATCCTTGGTCAGTGCTGGAACAGGGTTCACCCCGGGCTCCAGCAAGGACTCCTTTTCAAGAGTTGTGACTTAGCTGCCATTTCCAAAGTCTGACCTCTGCCAACCAGGAGAAATTCTGATAGTGCAACCAGGGCCCAAGAGCAGAGCTCTGGATCCCTTAGGATGTCCCTGAATGGTGAAGCATTTTAGTGAGCATCCAGCACATATCAGCTGAGCCTGCCAATGGTTCAGGGTGACAACCAAGCCCTGCTGCTGGTCCAGGAGCCAACACATGGCATGCTGTCAGGTAGCAGCAGGCACACATCTTTCATAATGCCTTCCTCCTTGCCCTTGGGGAGCAGTTCAGATGGCTGAATGGTTTTCCTGGTCACATGAAATGTCAAAAACCAGCAGCACTAAACACCTCAGAGTTTCAGGCAGTTCTTTGTACTAACAAGATACATTCCATCACTACCGTGTTCTCAGCATTGCATTCGTGCAGGACACTAATGTCAGTGCTGCTCTTGAGCCTCTGAGGGACAGACTAGAGGGTGAGAGAAGCCACTTCCACCAAAATCTCTGTAAGGAAGTAGAGAACGTGTTTTCCTCATACCTAGGGACAAAGGTGTGTTGTTATTTACACACCTACACCTCAATGCTAGGCCCAGAGTATGTGCACTGCAGCAAGTATCCACCTTCTACAGATGTCTGGATCTACATGGAACCTGCACAGGGACTTTATCATGGTGAGTTGACAGAACTGCACTGGGGGTGAAATGGTCAGCCACTGCACGCTCAGGATCTCTCATGGCTGACTGCTCGCTGGGGCATATAGGCCTAACCAGACTTGAACACTCATGTTTGGATGGAGAGAAACACATCAATTTTCTACCAACTGGAGTTTAAGTTTAAACAACTTGCAAGATGTTTAAACTGCTCTATGCAAGGGTGGCTTGTCCCATAGGCCCCACCTGGTGCCCACGAAGGCTGCTGCAACTTCAGGCCAGGCAGAGGGGCCATCTCTTGGCACTTAAAACCATTGCAAATCATGGTCTTTGCACAGTGCTCTTCACCCAGAAAGAAAATGCTGGATTTTTTCTGACCAGGGTTAACAAAGGGTGTGTTTGCAGTCACTATCAGGTCTACACTTTGAGACACTGCCATAAACATCTGTTGCAGACAGCCTGTATGGAGAACGATGGTATATGCCTGCCTTTAACCACATGCCAGAGCCTGGCTGGCATTTTGCACCCACCTGAAAGAACTGTCCCAAGCATACATCCTTTCAGACCTCTTCAGAATGCTGAAGTACTCTTCAGATCCAGTTTTACTACAGCCACAAAATGGGATGGAGAGATTTTCTTGAAGAATCCCCATTATAAAATCCTATCTTCATACATAAGTTGGTGGTCGTCCCTGGAAGACTGACACTGGACCTGGCCAGTGTCATCACCACTGGATACTTCCTGAACTACAGTCAGTAAGATCGAGTAGATCCCACTATGCTATCTTTGCACATGGGGTGGTCCACCCACAGTATCTCTCAACTAATTGATCCAGAAGATGAGTGTGTCCCACATCCCCTATTTTGCTCCTACTGTGAGCGGGTTCTGTAGGAGCAATGCCACCCGAACCACCATCACCTCTGGCCTCATAACCAGAGGTTTTGGCCTCCAAACACTTCGATGCTCTAAACTCCTTCATGTTCTCCATATCGAGAACTTGATACGGAGTTGGATCTTCTCTATTTGGCTGCAAGCATCCATCTCCAGGAGGGCATTTAGGGTTTTGATACATTTTCAGCTGTTTTCACTGTGAAAACCAATGAGGACAACAGCAATTAGATTATGCCTGAGGAAGGGTATAAAAATAGGCCAAACATATTACAATACCTTCCTAACATTTTTTTAGGCTCTTCTTTAGTCAGAGGAGGCATTGCTGTGATCCCCTGGTAGCCCCTGACAGAATTTTCTTCCCCTCATTTGTTTAATAATGAACCTTTGGTGCCAATACTATAAACTTGCTATGAAAAAGTACCCAAGCACAGCCCCACTCCTCTCCCAGCACAGCAAATCAGAGAAGCACACGTAAGGCACCCTAGGCTCTAGTACATGCAACTCCTGGCAAGCTTGGAACACATGCTGAAATAAAAAACTACAATTTTTTTCCATTTCAACTCCCAGTTATAACCAGCTATGCCATTGCTAGATGGATTTCAAGAGCTGGCATTGTATTAGCAAACATCCCTCATACCACTTTGGAAATTAGAAGTGGCATCTCTAAAGCAGAGAACAAAAAACCTGCTGAATGTGGTTGCACCGCAGAGCGCATGTAACATGTGCCTCCACTGCTGAATGCTGGTGTGCAGATGGAATTCCAGAAAAGCAAATACTTTCCCCAGTTAGAATGACCGTATGAAAGCCCTTCTCGGTTTGCCTACAGGTAAGGTCTTGTTCATTCTCTATCTTTGTGTGAGCTTGGATTTTAGCTGTAAACATGTAAAATTAACTTCAAAGCGTTGATACTTCATTCAGAACAAGTATATTTCAGACTGCCCTATGGAAACAGGACCAAATAGTATTTTTTTAACTCAGTATGATAGCGTGGACAATATTCCATCTGTGTTACAAGCCAAATCACCTGGTGCTCAAAGCATCCTCCTTTGGCATTGCCTGAAATAAAAGAGTGTTGGAAATACAATTTTAGCAAACGTACCCACTGGCAAAACGGGATGATGTATTCTAAGACTACCACATCCAGCTGCGCTGCCAGGAGGCTGAAACCACTCACCAGCTGCTGACTGGATCCTCTGTTGACTCAGCTGGGCAAATGAAGCCCAGTGCTGTACAAAAGCATTGAGTCATCACCCCTCAGTGTCTGTCACTGTATCACCCTCCAGATCAGCGGCACAAGGTCCTGGGGCTTTGCCTACAGCCGAATAACACCTTGAGCAGCTTTTCCCAGTCAGTGCTGAAAGGTCTCGTCTCCATTTAACATCTCTGGGCTGCACTTACCAGAGGTGGAAACAAGCACATCTGGGTCCCTACGTGATTCAAAACCAAGTCCCAAACTTTCCAAGAGAGGAAGACAGAAGGGGAGTTGCAACTAAGGCCCCGGAGGACAAACCTCTCAGTGCGCTCTGCCCTGTTTTTAGGAAGATGGGTTTCTTATAAATGCCCCGAGTTAAAGGGCAGGGAGGGCGTGCCTGGGAACGAACCGGCAGTGCCCACCCCGTCGCCGGCCCCTCCAAAGCCCTGAGGCAGCAGCAGAGCCCAAACTGGCTGCGGTCCCGGGAAGAACCACCGAGGGACTCTGCCTGGAGGGCTCTCGAGCACGGTGAAACCCCTCCTCAGAGGGCCTCACTTGCGCCCTGCGCTCCATCCCACAGCCATCCCACGGCACCCTCCCCGGCCGCCCCGTTTCCCTCCTGGCACCCTTCAGACGGCAGCAGCCCGCCGCCGCGAACACACGACCGCCCCTCGGCCCACTCCCCCCCAAAATGGCCGACGCTCCCACACCGCCCTTCCCCAGAGCCGGGGGAGGGCGCCGCGGTGCCGCCCCGCGCTCGGCAGCGCCCGCCCCGCTCCCGTTGACGTCAAGCACCGCCTGGTACCGCGTCCCTCCCCTCATTGTCAGCGCCCGCACCCGCCGCCCGAGCCCGGAGCTCCCCGCGGGCTGCGGCTGCCCAAGCCCGGGCCGTCCCGCCGGCTGGAGCGCGCCGCGGGCGGGAGGCAGGCCCGGCCGCTCCCGCTGCCCAGGTAGGCAGAGGCGGGAGACGAGGGTGCGGGCGGGGGGGGTACCGCAACCCCGCCGCACCGGCGGGGCGGGGGAGGAATTTGAGGCATCCGCTTTGTCTCCGCGGTCGGCTTACCGCCTTCCCTGCCCGGGCGGGCGCCGTAGGGCCGGGCGGCCCGCGGTGCGGCAGCGGCGGGGTTCCCCGCCCCACACCGCGGGCGCCGCGGCCCTGCGGCGCCCGCCGGGGCCTCGGCTGCCGCTCGGAAATGGAGCTGCCGTCGGGCTCCTTCCGACGCGACCGGAACAGCCGCTTTCCTGACCGGAGAGCGGCCCCGCCAGCGCCTGGTCCCTGCCCGGGAAGGGCACAGTTCCTCAGGAGCTGCTGCGAGCCGCCTTCGGGGAAGGTTTTAAACCCGTCGGTGTGCATCCTTGGGTTTTGGGGTAGTTGAGATTTTGAAGGTTTCCAGGCACTCAAAGCATGGGATTTCTATTAGTAACTTTTTTTTTTTTTTTTTCGCTGCAGCCTCATACTCCCTTTCCTGTTGTTTATTTTTTTCAGAATTCCCCCTTATTTCCCCAGCCCACCCGCATTTATTGTATAATTAATAATATTCTCCCTTTTATATGTGAGCTTTTCTGATGCTCTACCTTTGTTAATCACTTTAGCCTTCTTTGCTCCTCTGTCATGAGGGAACTCGTTGATAGAACATCATGAAACCTTTATTTTCCTCTTAATAAAATTTCTTAAAAGTACCATGTTTGGCTTTGCCATGTGTCCCATATGCTGGTATGCGAAGCAAGTGGAGTAGCAGATCTTTGGTGGTTGTCCTTGGTGACCACGCTTTCACTGCAAATCTGCATTTTTTCTTCTTATGCTACATCTGAAGCCTTTAAACCAATTAAACACAAGTTAAAGTGACCATCCCAACTAATCAGCACATTCAAGTTAGGCACAGTGGGATTAGATTTTTAATTGGTGCATTAATTCTGTTAAAATATTCCACAAAAATCACAGGAAAGAGTGCTAGTCATTGCGGAGTGTGTTGGGGTTGTTTCTTATCAAGTCTCTAGCTGAGAGCCACCTGGGTGGGCGAGTGCCTCTCCAAGCAGTACCACACAGCGATGACAGTGAAAGGGGGAAGTGTTTTTACAACCCTGGAGTAGTCTTAGGCATTCATAGTTTAGGGAAAAAATGCAGTTACTTACCACATGCTTACAGTTTAATGGCAGAGATACGCATCTTCTAGCTTGCTGGACAGTGAGGAGGGTCAGTGTTAGTGTTTCTGTTCTCTGTGTGAGTACAAAACCAACAGCTATGTGCTCTGGCCAGTTAATGCAGCCTATGGCCAGGCAGTGTGTTTCAGCAGGGGCAGCGTGCTCTGTGCCCATTTTGCGTCTGCAGCACTTGCAGAAGCATAATTCCTCCATTGTGTCAGCTCCGCAGCAGTAAGGTTGGCAGAAAATGATCTGCGTTGCCTGCCAGGCTGACCCCCTGCCCATCCCAGGGCTCCAAGAGGCCTGAGGGAGTGATGGGCATGCAGGGGGCTTGGGGTGCAGGACCCCTCTTGGGCATGGGGCCCCCTTGCTGGGCTTGCGTCCTGGCAGCGGGGGCTGGTTGGGGCAGCCAGCCCTCTGTGGCAGGCCGGGCACTACCGGGAGGAGCAGGACATGGAGAGCTGGTTGCTGTGTTTCTTTTCGACATGTGGCTGAAAGTTCCTGCAGGAACAGTGAATCGGAGTAAGGGGGTGTGGGAGAACGGAGCAATTCAAGAGTAGGCAGGTCCCCCGTAACTAACCTCTGTGCCTCTGTTTTGGTCTGAGCAGCCCTTCAGCCTCAGCTTCCTCATAATCCTATAAATGGTGACATTTCTTTACTCCAGTACAGGGCAATCCGACCCATTTCTACTTTCGAGGAAGTTAAAATGAGTTACAGCAATGTGGGCTCTTCACTAACCCTCTGGCTTTCTCAGTGCTCTGAAAATTTGGCCCAACTGAGAATAAGTTACTGAATTTATTTATTTAATGTGAGTTAGGAAGTGTAGACAAAAATAGCTGTTGCTAAAAAAGAGTACTCTCAAATGTGGATATTACCAGAAATGGTAATGTTTAAAAGACCAGTATGCCTTACAATCTAGATCATGTTATTTTGTTTGTTAAAATGGGTTTGTGATTACATCTTTAAGCATGACCTTACCATAGTATTGTACACAGATGCTCTGAGGTTGTGCTCATCCTCCACAAAACCTTTCCTTCCCACCAAGGGCTGTGGTTGTTGAGGAAGCAGATGGTATGTGCCTCCTTCCTCAGGGAAACTTTTCAGAAAGTGTGGCTGGCGTGACTGAGCCAAATGATAAAATAGTATGATTTTGATACAATTGTTACACTAAAATGAAGCAAATAATCTTTTTAGGAGGCTGCTTGGATTGGAAGACTCACATGATGGTGATGATTAATAGCAGTAATATGTTTTGCACTAACTAGTGCAATGTAGGTCATAGGAACCCTTAAAATATATTGCAAAAGAAAGCACTAGTGGAGGTTATGGCTTTGTTAGTTACATCTTCACAAGTCTAAGGCCTGTTGTACAGTCTTTTTGGCTTGGGTAATGTTTGGATCTGCACATGTGAAGTAGAAAGCACGAGTATTTTCAAATACTTGGTGACAACTGATGGGCAAGTGTTGCTTGCCAGTACTTCCTGCATCCCTGGTGCTGGTGGTCTGCTTCATCCTTCCATACTGTTACAGGCTGCATCTTGGGAGGCTTTCAGTCCTTTAATTTTATTTTCTTTTCTCTCCATAGTCAACAAGGTGGGATTCATCTCCCTGTCCAAGCTTGGCTGTTTGACAGGGCACCAGGGGAAGGCAGCTTTCCCTTGGTGGTGACTGTGGCCAGCTACTGCAGACACTGTGGACAGTCATATCTCTCTGGATTTGAGGGTTTAGAGCTTGTGACAGAACCAGTTTGGTGGAAAACCCACAAACCATTTGCCTTTAATTGTCCATATTTAGGAGCCTTCATAACCACCCTTACTCTGAGAAGGCACTGTGAGCATGCTATTCCTGCAGAGTTGGTGTGGTTTGAGTTAATCCAGCAGCCTGAAAATCAGAGTGCTTTTTTAGACGATCAAATAGGAAGTGTGGCATTGGATGTGACCCACCAAAATGTGGCTGTTCAGGCCTTAATCTTTCCATGTCTCTGGCTTTGTCTTCTTAGGTTTTGTCAGAGATGTTCCCCTGCTGAGGCCCTAATCTCAGCAGATAAGGGGTTGTAAGGCACAGTTCAGCCCCATGTTCTTTTAACCCTCTCCAGGGTGGAGTAAGATATGCAGGTGCAACAAGCAGCCTTACCTAAGAGCACCAGCAGTATGCACAGGAGCATGAACACCATGCAGTTCTGTTTCCTTCTCTGTAAAACACCTGAGACTATTTTGGCGCTTTCTTCCAGTGGTTGTGCAGCAAATTTAATGTTTGCATTCCTGAACGCTTTATGATTCTCATAGAAAAACAATCCGGAAAGGTGAATGCACTATTACAGTAAAGGGCTAAAAGGAGAGAGCGTGTTTAGAAAATATGAGTTTCAGTGTTATACCTAGCAATCAGCCTGCTATATGCAGCCTTCTGCCATGAGATCTGGATAAGCTCTGCCTATGGTGGGACCCATTAGGATTCACAGGAATAGCCCCAGGAGTGAAATGGATCATTTATTCACTTAGGAACAAAGTTGCCAAAATACACAGCTATAAAGTGTAAGGAAACATCAGCTGATAAATTTGTTTCTGTGTGACAGTGGGCAGATGAGAGCTGCTGCTTGCTGCTGCAACTGTCAGCTTGGAGGACAGTCGGGGATTTTCACATCCTCTCCAGTCACATTAACCTAGTGCTGTTGGGAAGCACTACATCAGTGCAGGTGGGCACTGTGGCTGAAGGAGGTGAGTTTGCCTTTCCCCTTGTCCCAGCCTCTTTCTCCTCCAGGAGCCCTTTCCAGCCCTACCCCAGTTGACACAAACTCCATGCAGCCACGTGAAGAGAGGTGGTCTGGATGAAAAATAACCATCAGCCTCCCTCCTACACCCTTTAACCCTGCCTAATTTCCAGCCTGACTGCAGGGTTGCTTTTGTCTGGCCAGGAGAAGGGAGTGCAGGGCTAGAAGGAGTCAGGCACGGTGCAGGGCAACCTAAAAATAACTGTAAAACTTCACTCTGAGGATTTTATCCAAAGTCTGTGAGGTCATTTGCGCAGTGATAGCATCCACTGAGCATATTAAGCATCACTGGGGGTGTTTGTATCTCTGCCACCACCTTGCTTTTGTGGTGACTTTGGATGTGTTGCCTTTGCAAAGTTCCTGCTAACACAAAACACTGCCCAGGTTTGGGCAGCAGTACAGATGCCACATTTAGAGGACTTAAGTGGAAAAGTTCCTGTATTTATTAAGTCCCAGCAATTTTGATCCTGTTTGTCAGAGCTTCACTGCATTGGGCAAACCTTAAATATCATCTTCTCAAAGTAACTTCTGAGCTGTATCATCTGGGCTCTGATCAGCTGTATTGAACTTGAGCCAGCAAAATGCAATGGTCTCATGTGTGTAAATACGCTGTATGAGCTGGAAACTTCTGTATTTCCGCTCCTTGGCCCCTTGCAGTGTAACACCAGCCATCCTGAGCCACCTCATCCCCTGCACTGCCCAGGCTCTCGGGGAACGAGTTGTCCAGCCATGCTGGGTGCCAGTCCTCATCCTCCCTTTGGCAGCAGGTGTGGGTGGGCTGGCTCAGCTCTGTGGGCAGATCCCACTGTTCACAGGTGGTCTCCTGGGTGCTCCAGGATAAAGCAGGGGAGGGACTTGCATGGCCAAGTGTGGGTGCTTCCTTGCTATCTGCCCTGGTCTGGGACAAATGTGTGGTGGTTTTGCCCCTTCCAGTCATGAAAGGGAAAGTTTAGGCTTTAATGATTTTAATCAGTACTGCATGTAAACATTTACAGTTCTGAATTTACTTAGCTAATTGTTTTTTTAAGTCATATGTTAAGTC